GAAGTTAGGTGTGTTTGCCATATCTTTCATGAATGGAATAAATAATAATATTACTATAGAAAGAACTCAGTTAACCCCACAATATAATCATCAGACATTATGAAATATAGACTTCATTATGCTTTGTTCCTTATGACCATATTACAATTTCTGTGAATTAAAGTACTGGACCCCGTTCTATTGGCTTAATATCCTGCTTTTTAACTATTTTGCATTTGCCATCCAAAGAAATTTCTATAATACTTTGCTGATATTCTCCTTCAGTTCACGTTTTCAATATTGAAATGTTCTAATGTTACAGGCCTTGATACTTGATACTATCTTGATACTATCATAACATGACTAACAATTGCCCATGTCTGCTTTTTATTATAGTATTATAGTCACAATTACTCAATATGATTTTCCTGTGACTTTAACTTTCACAATTGTCTGCAATGACTATCATACTGATAGCAATTTGACAACACTCTAAGCCAGATCACTGTTAACTTAATGAATAAGGACTAGCTGTGAATCTAGGTAATTTGAGAGGCTGGTGGGAAATTCTGACGCACTACCCTAGACAGTGGTCTGAAATGAGGAGATGACGCTCCGGGGGTCAATGAAGGCAGAAGGTAAATATTTATGAAGGCTTTCGTTAAATCTCTGTAAGATGGAAGCATCCTTCTTTAAGTGCAGAACAATGACACAAGCATAGGTTGGGCATCAGTCCTTAGGGAGCACATCTATTTAAGAATCTGAAAGATGAATCTGAGGTATCTGAGGTAGTAAATGAAACAGTTAAGAAGGAAGATAGAACAGTTCCATAGAAGCAAAGGGAAGAGAAAAATTCAAGGATTTTTTTTGTATTGAAATTAATTCATAGAGAACTAGATGACCTTTGCAGATAAAACTGTCTAGTTCCATGTGTATATGAAGTTAGCATTATACAAATATGAGATTTCATAGAGTAATAAACATTGCTTTTCTCTTCTTTATAGAAATCTTATTTATTCATTTTGTTTATTATTCACATAGGTGTTTTTGCTTTTTTCATGTGAACATGTGAATGTTGTTTTCAAGTTTCCTGAATTCATTAAAGAAAAAAATTTGGTCATTTAGATAAAGAGAATTTGAATTCAAGGCTGAATTAGCATTTCAGAGACACGTTGACAGGAATGGCTACCAAGAGGCTTCTAAGATAATTTTCCTGCAAAAAAGATTCATGGTATTAAAGATTTAGTTTTATCTTGGGGCAAATTACACACTTGTAATGTTGGACAGTGAGAGTTAAAAAAAACACACCTAATTAAATGAAATTGCTACTGTAACTAGTGATTCCAAAGCACCTAGAGAACAAAGAAACTCGATGTAACAGTTCGTGTAACTAAAGAGAGGTATTGCCATATTAGAGTGTAACAGAAGCAGCTTACAAAGAAGACTATTTTCATTCAACAATGCAGGAAAATTAGAATTCAATTTTCATAAACTAAGCAAAATTGCTTTGAATGTGAGTGTAATCAAAGAGGCTGACAAGTGTAATCAAAATCAAGTAAGTAAGGGGGTCATTCCCATCCCTTTAACTACTCTTAAAATTTAAGTTACTGGTAAGGAACAAAATCAATGCATTGCTTTAACTATTTTATTTTCAAAAAACCAACCAAGATTTGGCTTGGTTCAGAGTGGTTGTTTCTTCTAAAGCTTCTCAGTCCTCACTGCTATGTTGATACTGCTTCAGTGACTCTACAGCTACGTAAAACACAAATAGCATCTTTTAAGATGATGGATAACATATGCTTTTTATTTCCAGAGATAAGTAAATTAACTATAAATATAGTCTATGTTTTCAGCTTTGTTCATATTCCATATTAGATATTTAATAATTGCCATAGTTTCCATTTTTAATTTTTATGATCAAAATGAAAGTGGATACATTAATGAAAATTGAAAAAAGTAGTAATGCTGGGAAACATTGTATAGCTTAAAAACATATAATCAGAGGTGGTTAGACAATAAAACTATCAATATAGTGGCCTTAGAGATGTTATTAACCTACTTACCTTCAGCTATTTTGGGTTTTGCTTTTAAAATAAAAGTTGATGTCCAAATACAGCATATTGACAAAACAGTCGCCGCTTACCCTTCAGCAAATGCAAAATCCAGGGTAGTCATCTTTTAACTCAAGTCACTGTGAGTGGGAACCCGCTCCCTGGCACCTGACAACATTGAATAGACAAAAGGGATTTTCGAAGTAATCAATCATATTCTGCTTAAGTGGACTGGCTAATTATCAAATATATATAATGCCATTATGCAGCTAAATAATCTATTGTAAATGATGAGAATTGATTGTCAATACTTTGTCACTCTATCTTTCCTTCTCAGACTTTTTGATAAACTCTTGAGACATAATTTGTGTTTAAGCACTGTTAAATACTTTGAGAGGGACAGTATGCAAACAGAAGGTTTTAATTTTTCTTTTCTCACAGGGAACATTTCTCCAGCAGGACTGATAACAATTGTTTCTAACTTTCAGAAGGTGTATTTTTCTTTCTCCCTTGTGTTCAGATTCCTCTTTCCTCTCACTCCCCTTTTTATTCCAGTTGTTTCCAGATTTAAGTCGATAGATCCTTATCAATAGCTTCCGCAAATAAAATATTAATTTTGCTATAGTGAACTACACGCAGTCACTCCTTGGCCATGTACATTAAGTTGAGGAGCCATAATATAGAAAATTATTTAATTAAAAAGATATTGTCATCGATTTCATTCCTAGTCGTGTTCCTTGGGGATTGTTGACTGTTCTCTACGGCAGCAAACCATCTAGTCTTTCTTTCACAGCATTGCTGGCTTGGTTTGAACAACCAACTTAAAAAAAAATCATTTCATTTGAGGCTTATACAACTCTTACCACAATCCGTACATCCATCCATTGGTGAAGTTCATTTGCACATTTGTGGCCATCATCATTTTCAAAACATTTTCTTTCTACTTGAGCCCTTGGTATCAGCTCCTCATTTTTCGCTTCCCTCTCCACACCCACTCCCTCATAAACCCTTGATAATTTATAAATTATTATTATTTTGTCGTGTCTTACACTGTTAATGTCTCCCTTCACCTACTTTTCTGATGTCTGTTCCCAAGGGAGGGAGTTATATGTAGATCCTTGTAATCTGTTCCCCCTTTCTATCCCACCCTCCCTCTACCCTCCCGGATCGTCACTCTCACCACTGGTCCTAAAGGGCTCATTTGTCCT